CCTTAAATGATCAATTATAACAAAAACCATGTGTGTTTTACAATGTTTTTTTAACACACAACATCATCAAGTGTAAAGGCCACAATATGGCTAACTCTGGTTCGTCAGTGATTAGAACCACTAAAAAGAAAACTATTCTTAAGGTGTAAAAATTGAAGCCCTACGGAATATATGCATACTTTTATTCGAAATGTCATACTCTGAAAAACAACATAAACAAAATCATAACATTATGGATTTTTGTTACACAAGTATGACAGTCGTGTCGCCTAACGGTTAGACCGACTCATACAAGAATCCGTGACGGACAAAACAGAGTGAAAGCTCTAATTATCACTAGGAATAAAATCAAATCAATTACTGAATCTACTAAGCCAAGTGAGTTCACTCTACAACATATACTCAGCTGATTTACTAACACCACCAAGATCAGATCTTTATACACGTAAGCTACCAGGGCTTGCAGAATTTTTGACAAAAACTTAGCAGCATAATATAAATTTCTAACAGAAAACCTAATTAAATCTGCTCGAACCTAATACCAAGATCAAAACCTCACTTTTCAACCATTCAGCAGAAAACCCACGATGATATTTTATCCATAACAGTTAAAGGAATCGATAAACTGAAAAAAGATAGATTATTGGGAAATCGAAAAGAAATTGAAGAGGCTAAAGGGCCTAAAGAGTAAATAAAGAAAAGTACCATTTCTTTTATCCCGCGGCCCGTCGCAGCCCATGGTTCAGCCGGCGGATTTCTACCAATCGAAGATATCCAGTGGCTAGAAACCGGAAAAAGAAATCGAAAAAAAGAAAAGAAAAAAAAACGAAGAAGAAGGTGATAGTTTCGAGTTATGTTTACTGTTTAGCAGGCGTGGACTATAGCTTGCTCCCCTGTTACATATGTTCTCTTTTTGTGCGATTTTTTTTTTCTTTTCTTTTTTTGTTTCTTTTTTTTCTTCTTTTTCTTTAATAAAGAAAAAACGTGCGAGGGGAATAATATTTTTCAAACATCCTTTGCAATTTTGGGCACAGTGAAAATATTGAACATTGTCAGCTTTGCGTGACAGAATTTATATATTTTTTTCCTAACTTCGAATTTTAAAGCAAATTGATGATAATTTCCAGAGCGTAAGTGCATAACCTTTACTTGACTTATTATTCTTTGTTTTTTTTTTGGGTCAAAATATTAGCTTTTACAAATTTTGGGTTCGATTTGATAAATTCTATTGCTGAAAAGGATTTTTTTGGAAGAATAAAGTATTTTTGAAATTGTAAAACAGATATCAAATAAAATATAGCAATTAAAATTCATTTGATAAATAAAAAAAGGAAATAATGAAGGTAAACAAGTGAGTAGTCAAAATATGTAAGAGAATTAATGATGAATCTTATTGAAAAATGTATTGTAATTACTGATTCTAACTAGTACGTGACCCGTGCGATGCACGGGAAAATAATATTTTGATTGTATTATAAATTAAATAAATAAATAACATTGATCATGATTTATCCATTATTTATAAATTAAACCGGGTTGGACACAGTTCGACCGGATGGACCGAGAACCGGTTTATAACCGATTTAGTGCGCTTGAATAAAATATTTACTATCGAATCCGCCAACACCAGTTGGACGGGTAAGATCGATACGATTTTCTAAACAAATTTTGTTACATGAAAAATTATTTTAAATAAAATTACATATTTAAATAAAATAGAGATTTATAAATTGTTTATCAATTAGTTTAAACGTTTGAATTTATAAATTGTTTAGATATTTAAGTAACACTTTCTATTTAAATTTATTACAAAAAGTACTATATATATATATTAAAGTATTATGTATTAAAATCTGAACAACCACAAGACGGTGTAATTCTGAAAACCTTATATTTACCGTATATTAATAAAAATGATAATGAAATAAATATTTTGTTCACATAAATAATAATAAAATGATATATAAATATTCATAAATCATTAATCATGTTGTCATAAAAGTATTGTTAATATGATTATTTGAAATTTGGACGACATCACATTCACGTAATAAAGTATTTTCAATATTAAAATTTATATTTAGGTTCAATAATCAATTTGGTCTGGTCAAACTGATACATAACTTAATTACCTCGGACCAACCAAATTATGTCAAGTTTTTTGACTATTTTAAATATCACCTAAAAGTAATTCAATCAAAGTGGGCAGTACCCTAATTCAATCACCCGATTGATCCAAAGTAATTTCCTTATTTTCTTTAAATATAATATTTAATTTTATGAAATAAAAATATTTTATGATTCATATGTCTACACCAAATGATAGTATATTAAGATTATAAATTATATATCCAAAGATGAACTATTTATTTTTATTTTATGCATATTAATAAAAAATAAACATAGTAATTTTAAAAAAATTAAGATTAATTGATTGGGTATGTAATTTAAAAAATATTTTTAGCGTTCAATATATATATATATATATTTAACATGATTGAATTTTTGGATTAGAATATATATATTTAAAATAATTTTATTATTAAAAGTCAAAAAGAAAAGATGCCATAAAGATTACAACTTTGAAAAGTTTGTAAACATTAATTTATGAACCCTCCGATTTTAAATGATTTATAATTTTTGAAACATGATACGTGCATTTAAAACTCATTAATTTAGGAACCATCCAATTTTTTGATAATGAATTAAAATTAAAATATAAAATGTAAAAGTTGCTGAAAATAGTATATAATAAATGTGGTTGACTTTTCCTTACTACTATTTATGGTAAATGTTAATTCTTATTATATATATATAGATAGATTATTTAATTGTATTTAAAAAAATGAGGAGAACTAATCAACCAGAGAGGGAAAAAAAAATAAATAAATAAATTGTATTCAATGGTAATTTTGAGGGGAAAAAATGTATCGGACTAGAGGAAACGATTTATGTCCAATACTAGATTGGTCCATGAACCTAGTCGAGGTCCGGCCCAAATTGTCTCCAATAAGATTACAAGCCCAACCCAAATACAATCTCTGGATACTTGCAGATATATATACATATTTTCACATGTAAACGTACACTTCAGTACTGTTCATCATAAATTTAGAATTATTAAAATAAACGAGTTGTTCGAGAATTTGGCTCTGCTTGTTAAGTCTCGATTTCAACTCAATTCATTTGATAAATGAGTCGAGCTCAGGCTCACTGAACGCTTGTTTGGTTAACGAGTTGGCCTCAGCTCGGCTCAATAAAACTCGAAAAGAGATTTTTTATATAATTTTTTATGGTTTGACTCGGTAAAACTCAATATAGACTCGAACTCGGCTTATTAATATTGAAACGAGCCGAGATCGAAGTCGAATTTTGGCTCGTTTACTAAATAAGTCTAATTGCGCTCGACTCATTAAGGGCTCTCGGTTCGGCTCCTTTACAGCCTTCATAATCTGGTTTGTGTAAATTAATGTTAGTGAAAAGAATATGAATTATGCACCTGCAGGCTGCATGCATATGTTGTCCCATTTTCCTTCTACAAGAAAGATTACATATAAAGTAATGATATCAATTCAAATACCTTACAATGCCACCAAATAGACTTTATTGACCTATTATTGAGTTTGGGTAATTATAATGAACGTATGTGTGGCCATTTGCATGTCTTTTTCACAAAGTCATAAATAAAGTCATAAATAAGTTCAGTTGGACAGCTAAGGCCAAAATTTGAATTCCACTTGTGGGAAAGAAGGGCACTTAATAAAAGTTTTTCCTTTGTAATTTTGTCAGCGTATAAGGCACTCTTGACAAATTTTCATAAAAAAATAGACTAAAATTGAGATAAATGGACATGATTTAGAAAAATACAATAGAGAGCTTAAACAATCTAGGAATTTGAATTAGGAAGTACTAAAATAACTTTAGCCACAATGTTCAGCATGATAGTTAATTAGATAGAAGCATAAGCAACAACTATATGCAGATGCCACCCAATTTATGGGTAGTTCTTTAAGGATGCCGAGTCGAGCTCGAGTTTGACTCATTTACTAATATTAACGAGTCAAATTCGAGTATTAACAAACCTAACAATAAAAAATTATATAAAAGGTAACATTTTCGAGTCTTATCGAGTCGAGCAGCGCTGACTCGTTAACTAAACAAGCTTAATCGAACCGAGTTCGAGCTTTAACGAGTCGAGTCGAGCCAAACTCACAGGTGACTCATTTTGTTTGACATCTCCCGTGTTTTAGTCACATGTTTTATACATAATAAATATATAGGTGTGTTATTCAAATCAGTCGAGTCGAGTAACTCATGTTTGAGCGTGCTCTTTAAATAATCGGTTTGACTCGTTTAATAAACGAACAAAAGGTTCGGCTCGAACTCGTTTAATAAACCTAAAATTAAATATGGTTGTTTGCAAACAAACTCGATTTGTCTCGTTTTTTACACAAACTCAATTATCTATTTGAACTCGACTCGTTCACCAACTCAAGTTTTTACGAGTCGAACCCAGCCGTGATCGTGAATAGTTCGGTTCCAATGACAAGTATAAGGAACTATAAGCGCGTGTGGTGTGGATATGTGTGTGCGAACCATGTTTTGCTTTTCTTCATTTTATTCCCTTTTACGTATAAATAAATTACTGAAAGCTGTATCATATAATTCATTTTCTTGATCAAATTAATCAAGTTTAGTTTTCTGATCGTTAATTACCTTTTATAAGTTTGTACCCAATTGCGGTACAAGTTTTGTACCCAATGGCGGTATTTTTATTATTTAACATTATCAAACTGCAAAATTATTTTGCAATTATCAATTACAAGCTTAATCTTCAAAATTGCCAAAACGTGAATTGTTGTTTTAACTTTTGCTTGCCGTAAAATCCAAATGTTTACCGAATTCACTGAGAAGATAGTGTACATAGCAGAAGCTGAATTTACTGCACATGTTTACTTAATTCCTATCTTGCAACTACTTTGAGGTCAAACGGTCATAATTATAATTCAATTGAGATATCATTCTATAAAAAAAATAATAACATAAAAAAATATGACATTTTATAATGTATGCAATTTGTCGTTGCAAAAATATGACGATGGATTTACCTAACAGTTTCACCAATTCACCTAAAAATTTTTAATATTGCAAATATTGCTTTGTACTTAAGACTTCATCCTCACGTCAATTTAATTTACTTATTGTAACCGATTAATAATTGTGTGCTATCAAACTTACAGTCCAATCAACAATTTGCAATATAATTACTAAATAGTGTTTGTTATTATTTTATGAAAATCCTAGACGACACACACACAATATCTCGTGTATTCACTGATAATCACACTAATCTCCAAATGATTAATTTAATTTAATACTTCGTCCCTAATATCAAATAATATTAAATGCAATATGTAATATATTGTTGAGCTATAAACATAATAATTTACTCGTGAGTTTGGTCGAGTTTGAACTTATCTAGATTAAGTTTCGTTAGGCTTGAAAATATAGAAAATCTTTACATAATTTCCTTAATTTTTAACATAATTTTACTCGTTAAAATTCAAGCTCGACTCGAAGTGACTGCACATTTCAAATTCAATAATTAGGCTTCTTAAATTTGCCAACTCTAATATGTGGGATGTCAATTTCAAAACATTGACATTTAACCTCCCAGATGTCCCCAAATGGAGTTGGCGTGTCTCTAATAGTTTGAAATTGGCAAAATTTCAAAATTGGTCCTATAAGTTGGCCACAGTTCAAAAAACCACCCCTATATTGACCACTTTCAATTTCGGTCCTATAATTTGTCGATTTCATCAATTCTGGTCCAATTTTATCCCAACCCCGGATAAAAATTTGACGTGGCGCCACGTGGCAATTTTTTTATTTGACATGGTGTGATGTGGCGGCTTCAATTGTATTTAATAATTTAATTATGCCATGTGGAAATAATTGTATCCATGTGGAAATAAAAAAATTAAAATGAGGTGGAAATACATATACCCCTAGTAGAAAAAAGTATAAAATAAAATAAATAAAACTACAANAAAGCGAGGATGAAGTTCCAAATCTGAATTTACCAGATTTCTCATAAAATCAAGAACGAGCCGGAATTTCCATTCAACAGATTACAATAGAGATTCAGAATTCTCAGATCTGTTAAGTTCCGACAGATCGAGGTGGGGGAGCGCGGAGCTGGTCGATGTTCGTCGGAATTTCCCCCACGAAGTAGTTCTGAGATAGGTCACGTTACTGAAGCTTCGAGCAATTTGGAGAAGAAGGAGAATAAATTGAAGCTCTCGAAGGCGGTGGGCTTTTTTGCGGCGGCACAGTCCATGGGGGCGGTGGTGGAGAGTGTGGTGGAACCGTTGGCTGAGATGGTAGCGCCGAATATTGTGCATAACGGCGCCACCGCCGCCGCCGGGCGTCAAATCGATCGGGAATTGGGGCGGGTCCAGCGGGATGTAGCAGAATGATTTCCTAACCAGAAATAGAGTTTCAATTTTCCAACTCTGTTTCCCATTTTTCTCGTTTGCCCTTTTTCTAATTTATCCAAAAAAAACACAAATCTATGATCTTTTTGGGGAAATTTTCATGCTTTTGTTTTCTATTTTCAAGTGTCAATCGCCGGAAAATCACCTTCTTCTTCGCCTTAGCCATCGATTTGTTCTCCTCGATACCCCTCAAGTTGAAAAAAATTGGTCGCCGGAAAAATTTGGGTGGGCCGCCGTGAATTGCCGGATAATAGAAGAAGAAGACCGGATTTGGGTGATGACGAGTTAGTATTGCAGGGGTCGTTTTTTAAATTTAATAAGTTAGATGGACTATTTTATAATTTTAAAAGTTATAATTAATTGCAATTAAGGTCTGCAGCTGATGTGGATCTTTAATTTTGAAGTCAACATTTATAATCCTGCCACGTACACAATAATCATGCCATGTCATATTTAAAAATGACACGTCACGTTTTTATCCGGGGTTGGGATAAAATAGGACCAGAATTGATGAAATTGACAAATTATAGGACCGAAATTGAAAGTGGTCAATATAGAGGTGGTCTTTTGGACTGTGGTCAACTTATAGGACCAATTTTGAAATTTTGCCTTTGAAATAAATACATATTTGAAGATTGTATGGATAGATAATCACTATCATAATCTGATATTAATCACATATTTTACATAATTGAACCATTGGCTTTGCCACATAATTACAACACTTGAGCTAATAATAATTCATTCAAATTCCAGTGACAAATTAAGGCTGCTGTTAAATGAAACATGTGTTCATGTGCCTGAGACTATCTGCTATTGATTTCCAAAGGCTCCAATAATGAAGTGAATATATGTGGTACATGTTTTTTTTTAATAAAAATACATACTTATATTATAAAATATTATAATTTATTTTTTTTT